GTCCAACTCTCGCAGCCATACATGACTACTGGGAATACCATTGCTTTGACCATGCGGACTTTTGTTGGCAGGGTGATGTCTCTACTTTTTATCATGCTGTTTAGGTTCACCATTGCTTTCCTCCCAAGGAGCAGCCATTTCCTTCTCCAGGGGATCACGCTTGGTCTGAGTTCTCTGCTGTGACCTGTCCATCTTGGGTGGCCCTCCACAGCATAGCCCACAGCCTCATCGAACCACAAAAGCCCCCTCGCCACGACAAGGCAGTGATCCATGAGGGGGTCAATCTTTAGTAAAGTTATCTTTTTATAGACAAATACATATGTCTGGCTTCTTTAATCTAACTGTTCTATTTTTGAATCTCAATACCTAACAGTCTCCCCTCAGAAGAGAACAAAAGAGAACAAGGCTATTAAGAAGTTGTTGACTGCCAGAGCAAGAAGGGATGTTTTCATTTCATTTTTATGAGAATGAATGGGAACATTCCACCATGTTCTGAACTGTCAGGAATTGTCAAGCACTTCTTGGAGAAATTAGACCCTTCAGTTTAATGCAATTTCCACATGCCAACATGAGAACAGCTGGTTGGCCAGGCAAGACAAGAACATTTCATCATCCTTTCTGGATCCAAGCTTGACACAAACATCTGCCCTTTAACAAAATGGTTTTTGCACATTACATTGTTGAAAATGAGGTGCTGATGAAGGATCTTCACTCCTGGAGTTCAGACATGATTTATCAAGAAGTCTGTGTAGGAGCTGAGAGGCATGAGATTCAATGCATCAGATGCTAGGTGTCAGAAAGCAAAATCAGAATGTAAGGCAATAAAGGAGGAGCGGGGTCTAATTTTGCCCTGCTTTTCTCTACCCTAGGGAGTCTCGAAGGGGCTTACAATCCCCTTCCCTTCCTCTCCCCACAACAAGCACCTTGTGAGGAAGGCGGGGCTTCAAAGTTCTGAGAGAACTGTGACGGGCCCAAGGTCACCCAGCAGGCTTTGTGTGGAGGAGAAGTGGGGAATCAAACCCGGTTCTCCAGATTAGATCCCGCCGCTCTTAACCACTATACCAAGCTGGCTGCCCAATTGGACAAGGTGGCTCACCGAGCGCCCAGGTTAGCGTGATCTCATCAGCTCCCGGAAGCTAAGCAGGGTCGGCCCCGGCAAGTATTTGGATGGGAGACCTCCAAAGAATACCCGGGTCGTGACGCGGAGGCAGGCAAGGGCAAACCACCTCTGAACAGCTCTTGCCTTGAAAACCATCGGTCAGCTGTGACTCAAAGGCACTTCCCGCCACCAGCTCACTGAGCAGAAGAGGTTCACGGAAACTGAGCCCCAGAAGAACACCGGCAACAGAATGCAACATGCTAAAAAATGGGAGAGGGAAGACCTCCCCGAGCTGCACAGTGACACATATGGAAAGTTGGGCGAGGATTCAGTTGCCCTACTTACTCCAAACACACAGAAAATTTAAGAAGTCTCCCAAAGCAGAGAGTGTGCCTCCGGACGGCTTCACCCAGCGCAGGCCCCCACAGAACAGAGCATCTGCTCAGCTGTATAGTGTGGCCCACTCACCCAACCCTTTCTTCGCAAGCAGATGGAATGGGGGGGGGGAGAATTGAGGCCACCTGGACCACCGGAAGCTGCACTGGCCCAATCTAGTGCAAACACCGACTCTGCTTCTCCACCAAGTGTGCAAGAAGCCACCTAGGGCAGAGGTGTCAAACTCATTTGTTACGAGGGCCGGATCTGACATAAATGTCACTTTGTTGGGCCGGGCCATGTGTGCCACAAAATGTAATGCCAGCGACCAGAGATATAAACTTTATAAAGGACATCGGCAAACCCAATTAACAATATTTTTTTTTAGAGACCTTTCCTGCAGGATCAGCTCTAGAAACATTTTTCCAAAAGAGTGTGCTTAAAAGATCAGGAAGCAATGCCCGATGGCTAACGGCGGCATCACAATCAGCCTTACTCTTTCTGAATCAGAAAGGATTTATCGGAAGCCTGGCATTTTAGGCCTGCCTCCAGGGCAAATGGTGAACTGCTAAGATGCACAAAACACACAGGAGGCCTTGGATAACCTACCTACCCTTTCCCCCCAAATTTGCAAAACTTGCCCTTGAAAACAGAACATTAGTTAGCCCAGACCTTTCATTTCTGGAAATGGCTATATGGCTTCTTTAGTAACCTCCTAAACTGAAGGGGAATGGGAAATGA